CTTTCTCACTCAGCCTCAGTTAAACCATTGTTTGTAACCTCATAATTAGGCTAAAATGATATATAGAAAATTAATATTTTGGCTTTCTCTTATTCATTCATCTTAGTCATCAACATAGATGGTTTCTTGTTGAAACAGTCCACCAAAAATCTTCCTCTTCTCTGTTGAAGCAACCTCTGTTTGTTTAGCTGGTTTCGGAGCCTCCTTCTTCGTTTTCGAAGCAAATGGTTTCCTTGGAGGAGTTTTCACCACTGCTTTCTGAGCAGGCAAATTTTTAGCCTTGGCCTGTCCCCTAACGGTAGCAACTTGAGCGTCTGATTCCTCGTTAGCCTTTTCAACAGCTGATTTGAGCTGTGAGCTGAGTTTTTCAAATGAAAATCCTGTACTAAAGTCTTTTGCTTTGTCTAGTAGACTTTCAACAGAAGGAACGGAAGGTGATGACGCCTTCTCTTCAGGTTCCTTTGCGATGGTAGCAGCAGCCTTTGCTTCTTTCTTTTCAAGCTTCTTTGCTTCTTGTTCCTGCCTCTTGGATGCTTCAGCAACTCCTCGAGCTTCTTCCTCAGCTTTCGATTTTTCAAGGGCTTCTGCATAGGCCTTTCTCCGACCATCCTCAGGAATGACGCTGTGTATATAATGTTTCACTCATTTAGATTATATCGCATCCAGAACTTGTAGAAAGAGGATAAATCTTTGTATATAATTATAATATTGTTTTGTTGTAGTTTTTGTTATGTTACTATCTGTTGTTTTTGTTATTATTTGTTACTTCTTGTACTTCCGTTATTTCTTTCTTTGAACTTTTTATTTTCTTGAGCTAATGGTTTATCGGAAATGGACTCTCTACCTATAAGGTAGGGGTAAGTTTTGCATACACTCTACCTTCCCTAGACGACACTATGTTGGGACCATGTTGTTGTTTTGCTGACAGAGTGAAAAGAAATAGTTTAACCTGTTTCATAGCCGGAACTCTTATCTTATTTTCCCCGTTACTGATCCCACTTTTTATGGACGCTTACTTGTAGCTATCTTTTAGATGTTCTGATGATTCGTTTATTACTTTCAGATTTAGTACATAGAAGTTAAACACATAGAGAAATCATTCTTACGAGCACTAGTATCACCGAAATTTGGAAATGCAGCAACTGAGGAAAGAGGTATTTACCTAAAAAGTTCATCCACAGTCTTTGGCGGTGCTGATGGATCAGCAAAGACTTCGACAACCTGTACAAAAAATAATTCCAGTTGTTGAACATCCACATTACACCAAAGAAGACCAGTACAGGTTCATTTGCATAAATTCATTTCATTTGAACTCTTTCTTATCTTAGTAAACTTGTCAATTTAAATCCGGTAATCAACGTTTACTGTAATGTAACAGGCTGAAATGGAGCAATATGAGAGTGAGACTTCATATAACCGACCCCAACGTGTAGTTGTTGTTGTAATGTTGCTTTACTTAAAAGGGGGAGCAGTCACTACCTTATTTTCTGCCACCGCTGTGTTGGAGAAAACATCCACAACGAGCTTAGCTATCTGAGACTTCCCCACCTGATAATTCACATAAAACAAGAGATGATTTAGTTTATTTCGATCTATTTAACATGCTTAGAAAGCAGAAAAAGGAAACAATAAACCGAAGAGTATGTCATGTGACTAAATCCACAATAGAATATATGAACATGTTCAACATTAAAAGAAATTGCATACATTACATTACTTTATAGGCGTCAGCATCAGCACTTCCTTCAGCTGAAACGACGATTTTGTATGAGCTCTCAGGGGAGAAATCGTCAGTTAATCTGGTTTTTATGAGTGTATAGCTTAGGTCTGTCTCTACTATCTTCTGCAGAAACTCTGCTATCGTCAACGGTTGAGATTTTGAGAACAGATTGTTGAAGAATGATGTAATTCCGTCGAGCACATTGTATGTAGAGCCTACTGGAGAAGATTCATCATAGACTATGGCCACATGTCCAACGCCAGCTAATTGTGCTGCTTCTATAACTTGTACAGCATCTGTTGTGGTGACTTCAGTCGCAGGACCGTCCTCTCCCTTACTAATAGTAACCACAACTTTGTTAGCATTTCCGATTGCCTTTGCAATCGATTCTGCATCTTGAAATGATGATGCAACTGCATTCAGACGTTTTGACTCATCGTTAGAGATTACCTGCAATAATTTAACATTTATAATCAGAAAACAACAACCCATTCCCTCAACCAATGTGAGACGCTCTAACACTCCCTCATGAAGTTGGACATCTAGATCGTGGACGATATAACATCCAGGCTTAATATTGTGAAACACAACAAAGAAAAGATGGCTCTGATAGAAAAAAATGGACCTTGAACCTAATTCAACCAAAACGTTGGCTCAAGAGTTAATATTGCACAAAACCATATATGACAATAGTTCATTCCCACAACCAATGTCGGATACTCTAACAAGTTCCATATTTTGCAAGGACAAAGAGACTGACCTTGTAGCTAACGGCTAGACGAGCTAGCTCTTGTGCAGCACCAAGGTCAGAAACTCCAGCTCTGACACTATAACCTTCACGCAACAGCAACTGTGCAATGCGGATACCAGCTTGCCCAGTTGCACCAGCAACAAACACCGTTCCAGGATCCTTTGCCCTTTGCCTTCCAAAAGACAATCCAGAAGATGTGTTCGTGCTAGCAGGTATCAAAGACGTCACATCAGGTAACTTACCTGTTGAATACACAGTGTAATTGAGTAACTAAAAGTGTGTTCGTCTTCTAATCTTTCAGATAATACACTAACACAATTCAATAAACACCAGAACACACTTTTACAGACATAATTAAGTAAATTCAAATGAAATGACCGCACAATTCAATATAGTATTAGAGCAAGCAAACGCCTAGAGTTCAATGTTAAAGACGGAGAAAAGACCACATCGGTGGTTAATGAGATGGATGGACTCCTTATAAGGTTTGGACAATCCTTTCCATTAGAGCTATTTTTTGGAGTGTGAGTCAGGCCTAAGACGTAGTTTCACATTCAATTTTCAACTTGACAATAGAAAAAACACAAGTTCTGCTTTCAAGTCTCACTGTCACCCATAATAAAACAGAAACTATACGAAAATAACAAAGTCAATTTAGATGAGACGCATACATAATTAAACATGGTATCAGAACAAACAAACTTACTTCTAGTGTTCAAGTCTCAAATATGGCATTAGAGCAAACATAAGTCTTGCGTCCAAGTCTTACCGTCACCCATTATCAAATTAAAAAAAAAAACTTCTACGAATATAATTAAGTAAAAAGTCAGATGAAATGATCGCACAATTCAACATGGTATTAGAACAAGCAGACGCCTAGCAAGGCTTGCATTCAAGACTCACTATCACACATTATAAGAAAAACAACTCCACATACATAATTAAGTAAATTGAAATGAAATGGTCACACAGTTCAACATTATCCAAAAATAAAACAGATCAAATATTAGATGAAATGATCACACAGTTCCGAACATTACCGAAATCAAAGTTGAAGGGGTTGCCAGAATTGGTTGTAGTTTCTTGATTTTGTCCAGATTTTTTAGCAGAAACAATGAATCTTGGATTTTTGAATGATAATCTTGGATGAGGTGTAGTTGAAAGGAGAAATGAATTTGAAGTAAGAGTTGGAGCCATAGGATATGAATTTTTATTTTATTTTTTTTGAAAGAAATAGCAGATGAATTGCTAATTCTTTCTATTTAGTTACTATATTTTGCATGAAAATTGTGTTTTTTTTTTTAAAAAAAATATATGAAATTGTATATCTGTGGCATTTGATTCTGGTCTCAGAAAACAGTTTTTGGATTGAAAAAATTTGTCCATTTGGATGGATGAGTAAAGTGGATTTCCAATGAAATAATGCCACGTCAAATTTTATCTACAAAAGAAAATTTCAAGCCAGTCGTTTCTAATTGGTGCAAAAATAGTGACAAATTTTTCAAAACATTTTGTTCGATTCAAACAAATTAACATAATGTTTATCATTTATTTGGATTATAATATAAGTACCTCTAAATTATGATCGGAATATATATAAAAAAACTTTTAAATTCATGCTCAATTTTGTTGTTAAAATTAAATTGCTTGACTCTCAAAATTCGAATAATATTTCATGGGGAAGATAGAGTACTTTGTTTTGGTTTTGATTTTATTTTATTTTTCGGACAAATGCTTAGATTTTATTGTGGTAAAAATTGTTTGGAATGACACTCTCAACATGATTTTCTTCATATTCAGAGTTTGAATCCGAGACCTCTAGTTAAAGGTTAAATAATCACACCACTGCATCTTCAAATTACTCCTTCTTTCACTTTTACTTATTACGTTTTGCTTTTCGAGAGTTAAATTGGATAAACTTTAATTAACATTTTAAAATATATTTTTTCCATCCTATCAAATTATCAAATATAAAAAGGATTACAACTTGTAGTGATTTTGGTAGTATTTGAGCATCTAGTTAAGAGTAAAAAATCTTAAATACTTAATCTAATTCAATTTAGTTCTGAATATTAATCAAATTAATTTTCATAAAGTGAAACACGACCATAAGTAAAAATGAAAAAGAAAAAATAATACACAAGGTTTTCTGGTGCCATTTATTTTGGTAGTTGACCCTTATCTATTTGAAAAAACATGTGATCCAGCTTTTTTCTGGAACAGATAATATCTATAACTAATTATCTGTTCAAAATAATTATACAGAAAGTGATTTAAATTTTGCGCTAAATTTAAATCTTTTCTGTATAATTATTTTGAACAGATACAGATAATTATTTAATGTATTCAAGCTACATATTAATGTATCAAAGACAGTATTTAATGTATCCGACCTACATATTAATGTATCCGAGCTTCAATTATTGTATCTGATTTTTTTTTAACTTTTAAGAGATAAATATAATTAGAAACTAAATTTATTTGTAATTTCATATTAAAACTAATTTATGTAAAATCTACAAAAAAAAAATAGTATCAATTTATTTATTTTTTAAGAAAAGAGGAGTTTTAGGAAATATTTAGACAAAATTTTCATGGATCAATTCGAGTTACGGAGTCCAAACGAATTGAGCTAATAAATGAACAGGTGAATAATCAATTCAAACTTTTGACGGATTGAGCGGATTATGATTTCATGAGCTACTTTTGTCACCTCTAGATCTAAAGAATGAAGAACTCACCTTTCTCTAATTGTAAGCCCAATCAGCATGTACCTACAGGAATCAAATGAGTATAGTATGTACAGATTGGTTCCAATTCTAGTAGCTTACCACGAAGGATAATCGAGAAATCTCCGAGAGTCAGTGGTGCACGAAAGGAAACTCAGTGGATAACGGACCTGACCGTTTATCTTTCTTCACTTAAATACCAAGTTTTTGTCTGCAGTAGAATTCGAACCATGTCAATTGGTAATGATACCACCCTATTGTGAATTATAGCCAGCTATAACCAGGTTTCTTACTCAATCCTCTATCCAACATAAGCTTTCGCTGTCCCTCCGCGTCCTTCCAATTTCCTTCCAATGCTAGCACATTTGCTAGCAATACGTATGTTGCAGGATCGTTGGGACGAAGTTCAACAAGCTTCTTGGCAGAAATCACAGCAAGTCCCTTATTACCGTGTAGTTGGCAAGCATTCAGTAGACTTTTATAAACCGAAGGTCCTGGTTCTATTGGCATATTGTTGATGAAGTCCTCTGCTTCATGTAGATGACCAGCACGGGCATACAGGTCGACTATGCAAGCATAATGCTCTAGCTTTGGTGGTGGTAGAGAATTGTCATTCTTCATCAGATCAAAATATTTAAGCCCTTCGTCGAGCAGGCCAGCATGTCTACATGCTGAAAGAACAATAAGGAATGTGGTTAGATCTGGTTTAATACCACATCTCCTCATTTCTTCAAACATTACAATCACATCACTACCATAACCATGATGTGCACACCCTGTAAGAAGTGAGTTCCACGATATGAGGTCTCGTTCCTCCATTGATGAGAATATTTTCTCGGCATCTTCAAGTATACCACATTTTGTATACATGGATAGAAGCCCATTTTGTATGATAACTTCAGAAGCATATCCTGTTTTCAGAGCTAGACAATGGATAAGCATTCCCTCCTCCAGGCCTGAAATGCACCCTATTGCTTTCAAAATGCTCGCAAAAGTGTAATGATCAACAGTAAAACCATATCGCCTCATTCTTGAAAAGCAGGAGAACGCTTCTCCACCGACTCCTAAATTAGAGAAACCGGATATAACTGCATTCCAGGAGATCTCATCCCATTTCACAACGTCAGAACACAACTTACGGAAATCCTCTAAGCTACAACTACACCCTGAGTAAGCAGACAACAACGATACCACCAAGTAATGGTTAGTCTTACAACATTGATGTATTACATGACAGTGCACCTGCTCACAATGAACCAAGTAATCTGAACAAGAAAACGAGCTTAATAAACTCGTATAGGTAACATAATTAGCTCTAATTCCCAACCTCAACATTTCCTTGAACAAAATCAGAGCTTGAAAAGAGCAACTATTTTGCGCATAACCAGTAATCATTGATGTCCAAGTAATAACATTCCTTTCAGTCATTTGATCGAAAACTCTCCTCGAAGTCTCAAGATCAAAACACTTCAAATACATATCAATCAAAACAGTCCCTACAACAAGATTCAAAGCAAAACCAACTTTCCAACTCAAACCATGCAACTGAGCCCCAATTTCACATGCTTCTAACTGAGCACAACCAACCAACACAGCCGAAACACTCGACGGGGTCGGTCTAATACCCTCTCTCAACATATCAAGAAACAACACAATCGCATTTTCAGGGTAATGGGTGTCCAAATAACCAGAAATCAAAGCATTCCATGACACAACATTTCTTTCAGGCATTTCATCAAACAGTTGCTCTGCTTCTTTAACATAACCACATTTTCCATACATATCAACAAGAGCGGTGTTGATAAATACATTTGAATCAAACCCCATTTTAATAATCTGGCAATGAGTTTGAATTCCAAGTGAAAAAGAACCCATTTTTGCACAAGTGGAGATGATTTGATTGAGACTAAATTGGTCATGAAGAAGACCATTTTGATGTAACAAGTCTAAATTAATGCTATTTGATTCATTATATTTGTCTTTGAAACTATGATAAAAGATTTGGTAGGATAATATATTTGCTCGCCTTCCTATGTTGTAGAATAGGTGATTTGCAAGTGTTCTTAAAATCATTATATGTCAAATCATTCCTTGAGGTTGTCCACTTTGACTTCCAAGAAAAATACTGAGCTCAACGATCTTAGATTTTATATAGAAAAAAAATATTAAAAACACATCTGAATTATTGACAAACTTTAAAAAACATGTCTCGTTTGGTATTGATTAGACTCTTGATACATAGCGAATATTCATACCCCCATATTGTATGACTTCGACAGAGCTAAAGGAATTAAAACAACAGTTGCAAGACTTATTCGATAAAAATTTTATTTGACCGAGGCGCACCATTATTATTCGTAAAGAAAGAAAGATAGGTTTCTTCTGCATCGACTAAAGACAATTGAACAAGGTAACAATACGTAAAATCATGACGCACAATAACCATTACGATGAGCATAATCAAAGATAAAACTTAAATGAATCATCAAGAGATTGAAACTTCTTACGGAAGAATATATGAGTCTTTTGGATTTCTTCTAATATAACTTCAATTCCTATATTTCGCTCATCTACATTTGATTTTTCCATTAATCCTGCAAAATATAATTATGAAAGTTAGATAGCTTACAATAATGAAAACGCCTTAATTATAAAAACATATTCAATATTAGTGAAAGTTCAATTAATAATACCACTAAGTAAAAGAAACTTGTCCAACTTTAGAATCGCATGATGCCTTAAAAATTATTTCTTAGCAAATTTAAAAGTTTTGATGCTTTGAAGAAATTCAAGAAAACAAGGTCCTGAGAAAATCTATTGTAAACCTCAATTATTGTAATTAATTTTGGAAACAAAATAATTTAGTCATGGAAATAAATTTGATTAGAATCCAGAATCAACTCGTTGATATACTTTTCTTTTCTTTTTTATAATTATTGTTACTTTTATTTTATTAAAATAAGTTACTATGATTAAACGTGATGATTGTAGAAATTTCATACATCAATGGCGCACAAAACTCAAACTCTTTTTTATTTCAAAAATGCAAACTTATTTATAAGATCAATTTCATTACTTATTTACAATCAAATAATTCAAACGGGCTCCCAAAATGCAGTTAATAAACTGAAAAATTTTCTAGTTATCCAAAGCATGAGAGAAATGGTCATTGGCACCAAAGTAACAGACATATACACAAAGCTTGTTGAGACCTATGCCCAAAATGGTGCTTTGCAATTAGGCAAAGCATTACATGCACATTTAATCATCAATGGATTGGCTCAAAGAACTCATTTTGCTTCAAAGCTTATTGCTTTTTATACAGAATGTAAACAGTTATCCCATGCACGTAAACTGTTTGATAAAATTCCCCAATCAGATACTCGTCGTTGGATTGTTCTGATCGGGGCGTATGCTCGTCGTGGGTTTTACGAGGAAGCAATGTGTGTTTTTCATGAAATGCAAAAGGGTGGAAAGAAGCCGAATAAGTTTGTTCTTCCTAGTGTACTTAAAGCTTGTGGACGCTTCAATGATTTTCGAACAGGGGAGATATTGCACGGTGTGATTCTGAAGAACATGTTTGAATTTGACTCATATGTGGTTAGTGCATTGATAGATATGTATTCAAAATGTGGTAGAGTTGAGAAGGCGAAAAGGGTGTTTAATGGGACGGTGGATAAAGATTTGGTCGCGTTGAATGCTTTGGTTTCGGGTTGTGTACAGCAGGGTATAGTAAATGAAGCACTGGATTTGGTTGAGGAAATGAAAGTTCAAGGTATGAAGCCTAATGTGGTGACATACAATACTCTGATTGCAGGGTTTTCGCAAGAAGATGATCAAGGTATGGTTTGTAAAGTTGTTGAATTGATGCATGATGATGGACTTGAGCTAGATGTAGTTTCGTGGACTAGTATAGTTTCTGGGCTAGTGCAGAATTTTCATAACAAGGAAGCTTTTGACACGTTTAAGCGAATGTTGGATGATGGGACGTCTCCAAGTTCAGCTACGATTAGTAGCATATTGCCTGCTTGTGCAACTGTGGTAGATTTGATTCGTGGGAAGGAGGTACATGGTTATGCGGTAGTGATGGGGATCGAGAAGGATGTATACGTGAAAAGTGCTCTCATAGACATGTATGCAAAATGTGGATTTATATCTGAAGCAAAGCACTTGTTTTCTAAGATGTGTGAAAGAAATACAGTAACATGGAACTCGATGATTTTTGGCTACGCGAATCATGGGTATTGCAGTGAAGCAATTGAGTTATTCAATCAAATGTTAAGAGAGGAAGATAGGAAACCAGATCACTTGACTTTCACAGCAGCTCTCACTGCTTGTAGTCATGCTGGACTTGTGCAGTATGGAGAAAGTTTGTTCAAACAGATGCAGGAAATGTACACGATAAAGCCAAGATTGGAGCATTTCGCGTGTATGGTGGATCTATTAGGGAGAGCAGGGAAACTCGATGAGGCTTACGATTTGATTCAGAGGATGTCAATTGAACCTGATTTATTTGTTTGGGGAGCATTATTAGGGGCATGTAAACAGCACGGAAATATGGATTTAGCAGCGGTTGCAGCTGAGAAATTGGCTAAACTTGAACCTGAGAGTGCTGGAAGTAGTGTGTTGCTATCAAGTTTATATGCTGATTCAAGTAAGTGGATAAACGTCGCGAAGGTAAAAAGGGTGATCAAGAAGAAGAAACTGAAAAAGGTTCCTGGATGTAGTTGGGTAGAAGTTGCATAAGTTTTCACATGGCTAGAGAAGCTGAAGATCAGTTGAGTACGCGATCTTGGATAAAGGCCTGCCTCGAAGGGGGGGTGTAGATAATTCAATGGTTGGTTTTTCTCCCTAGACTCAACTGATACACACAAAGGGAAAATGCACCATTCAACAAAGAGACGAGCAGTTCATTTACAGAATCAAAGTGATCAAAACGTAGTGTCTGCGGGATTCAGGACCTGTGTGGAGTCATTACATACCATCTTGAGTACCAACTCGGTTTCTAAGGACACTACAAAGTGGTTTAAACGAAACAGTTTTTCGAGCGAAAACAAAGAAGATACAGAAAGGCAAAGCATTACAGCAATCCCATGCACTTTGGGTCCTCAAAGGTTTGTCCAGACTTCCTATTAAAGAAGGACCCTACGTCTGAAGAGGGTGTTGTATGGTCTGAAAACCAGAATATAAAAAGTGTCTTTCAGATGAATAATAGGCTAGTATTTTCATGCTGCATTCAGCTCGGTGCACTATGCTCCCGCTATACACAGGATTCAAGGATGGGCCTGACCACAAGGGTCTATTCTACGCAACCTTATCCTGCATTTCTACAAGAGGCCGTGTCCACTGCTCAAACTCATGAGATCAGCTACCCCTTGCTCAGCTTTATGCCTAAAGCTTTGTAAATAAATTGCAGCATACATGTACTGAGATTTGAGAAATTAATATTCCATTGAAAGTGAATAGGGAGGAGTCTCTTTTTTCCAACTACCATCACTTGCTAGTTGCTTCGACTCAGACTTGGACATTCTATTAGTAATTAATACTCAAAAATTTCATCAAACACCTTCCTCTAATGTCTTATTATCATTAGTAGCAGCATACTAATCCAGTCACCAACCTAGTCCTAACACAGGAAAGTGGAAACAATTTCCAAGAAAATATTACCAACAGAAGGAACTTCTCATAAGATTGACTTCCATCATATCAAACGCACTTGATTAGAAAAGGGCAGCAAGAGGATCATAACATAAAAGAGTAGAAATTCAATCAAACCAGTGATACCAGTAAGTCGCAAAAAAAAGTACATTTGATCCTTGTGCAGGAGACAAATCCAGCAAGAGACTGCAAAATCCCTCTGTCGTGGGGATGAAATAAACCACCTTTGATCTTGTGACTTCTCTGGATTACAGTTATCTGTGGCTTGATAAACCGCACAGCACAGAGATCATTGCATACCTACAATGAAGTTCAACAGTACAGTTTCTATCCATCTAGAGAATTAAGCAAAAGGCAAATGAAAACCGGTCAAGAAAATAAATGGACACAAGATTCTATAATACTGGTTGTATCCCTCATAATATCTCTATGAAGAATGGCATGTCTAGTAGACTAGCAGAGCAAGCATAAATTGCAGATGTTCGTTATACAAAGTATACATAATAAGCAAATTTACTATTTGCATGATAAAGAAACAAGCAACTACCCACATAGGATCTTCTACCAAATAAACAACCAGAATACAGAAAACACCTGGATGAGACAGTTACCAAGAACAAGAAACCTAGGGACTGTATATTTCACCAAGAGAACTAAAACAATTTCTTCTCCACCACTCTTTGAGCATGCCCTTGGAGCACTTGCCTTTGATACCTATGAGTGATGTTATCCAAAATTGGTATACCCTTTTGGAGTCGCTAACATATGCAGATGTGCATATGTGGGCCCCATTAAAGAAGAGTCGCTAGCATACAGAGTCATAGTGCCAAAAAACAGATTAAAGGAGTAAGATGATATGTAAGAATAGTGAAACTACACAGCACCACAAAGACAATTAGGAAAGCTAACTAAGCTTACTCTGAAAGAGTATTTACTTCCGCTGTTTAATAATTATTCAGAAGCACTTCTATATAATGTTCATCGAGAACAAGTGCATACCTAACCACAACATTTTTAATAAGCAAAACCTAAACATGGTATGCTAATGAGGTAGTAAAGAACATCAAAATATTCAGACAAGACAAAACAGAATTTGAGTAGTTAATAAAGCCAAGAAAATTGAAGAAAACCATCTCCCCTGGAAATGGAGTTAAGATACTGCAAACAACATTGACACCCGCATCAATCTAAATGACCTACAAGATCGAGATGAAACAATGTCAACTTCCACTCATTTTCTAAGCATCCACCATCACAAGTGGTCACTTTACAAGAAGAGGTCCATATTGCACAAGTTATCAGAATCACTTCAAATTCCACACCAATTCCACAAGTTGTGGTTCATTGCATCCACATGTACATTTTAGACTAATGCAGGAAGACAAACAGCATCTATTTTAGCTGGAGTCAGCTATAGTATTCAGACATTTTTCATAGTTAAATTAATTTACATCGGCCATCAACCCCCTTTTATCTGGGCTTAGGACAGGCTACAGTCTGCAAAGCTCACATGGTCAGGGTTTCAAACCGATATAAATTGCATAAAATATATTCTTCAAACTTTAACACAGAAGTAATATTAAGAGGAGACCACTAAAGAAGGTGCAATACAACATCTTACAACCAACCAAACTTTACCTATTCACCGTTGCTTCGCTGATCTAGCTTAAAGAAAGGAACAGTGCAAGACAAACACATTCATATAGTCCATAGCTAAAATAAACATATAAATCACATGGGAGGAAAGGCTACACATTCACAATAAAAGCTTCAAGCTCAAGCAACACTACCAAAGATGTTACTAGAAGTATCTTGATACTGTGAACCAAGTGATGCACAAAAGGTATTCTCATCAAAAGCTCCTCAAATCCACTAGATTTCTGTCACACCTTTGATGGTCAAAATATATGTAGTATAAACAATGCAAAGATGACAAAAAATTGACAAATTCATCCAGGCCAAAAGAAGATATTCAGTTAATGAGTCCTCCCAAAGAAAATTTTATCATGTTCATTCAATAAGGGGAAACAGGGCAGCAAATTATAATTTCTTCCCATTTGTCCTAGTCTTGATGGACAGAGTAACGTAGTACCTGTTGTTGGAGGAAGATGACGATATTACATAAAATCAGTCGTTGTGTGCGAAACCTGGCCCGGACACCACGTTATGAACGACAAAAAAATCAGGGCAGCAGATTATTTAGGTGTGTCGGAAAACTTTAAGCCGCCTCAGAGAAAATGTAACCACATGAAATGTTTGTCATTTGTACATAAAATTTAATAAAACACAAACTCTTAGGAGCCACAAAGTTGGCCAAGTACAATCAATTACTATGTTAAGAAAGAAAATATGGCTGTCAAGTGGCGAAGTATGGTATCTATGCTTCATATACCATGTTAGGCAGCAGACAAGTTCCTAACGTGTTATTGAGCATTTGATCATAACTGAAAGCAAATACTCCATCCAGTACTAACAATAAGCAAAATGCGAACACTTGTCATTTAATGCCATCTGTAGTGTAACACTTGAGATCCAATAGAAACAAGTTGCTCTCCATGTATATCTGGTAAAACATTAGATACAGCAGAAACATTTCTAGAATGCAGAAATATGATCGCAAGGAAACCGATATCAACTAATGTGTTACAACAGTTGCTGCTACAATATATTGGAGGCTAAAAAAAGAAATCTTCATTACAAAATTAGAACAGGTTGATCCCTCCTTGAAGTGCTGGTTGTGACGCAGAAAGTCATTTTATGTTCTTACTTGACCATCCATCTTAGTTTGCATCAATTTCAAGAGATCAACAAAAAAAATATTCTTTTAGTATCTTATTCTCTGCAGCTACAGAAATTAGAATAGAACTTTTTATCAGCAACAATACACTTCCAGGACAATGAAGATCAGTGCGTATGACCACCAAATATCCGTTACACGCCAATAATTTATTAAAAAGTGTGACTCATACTATATCGCCAACACTAACTGCCAGATAAAATGTTCTATGGCCTGAAAATTCTTAGAAGTAGTTTGTTTTTTCCCATAGTAATTTTTTTTGCAATTGACCAAAAGGGGAAGTAGTAAACAAGATGTAAGAGTCAGCAGTCACTCCTATATCGTCTACACCCACTTTTTGGAAAAGAGCTGGTTTTGCCATCAATTCATCTATTAAAAACACATCGACACACCAAAAGATACGTAACAATACTTAGCAACACAAAAAGAAAAACAGAATCTGGTTATTCTACTACTTTTCAAGCAAAGTGTGATCGAAACAACAATCTTATCATGTATTATGTCCTCAAGCTCCTTTCTGAATAAGAAGCTACAATCAGAAATGACCTAGCTCTAAGAACTTTAGAGCAATTTATGCAATTTTTTACCTATAAATCTACCAAATCTAAACAAGTAGTAAGAAAAAAGGCCTAAAGGGTCTAACTGGAATTCCTAGTTTGCATTCCACCAAATGAGATTTCTGATGCCACAATCCAGTAATCAACCCTGTACAAACAATTAACTATTATTAGCATACAAAAAGCTATCAAACAGTAGAGTTGCAGCAACTTGTATAGAATCAAGAATCTAACCTCCTTTTTGTGTCTACACCTATTTTTCACCAGGAGCAACATGATGATAAGAACCAAATTTATTTCCAGACCAGTCTCGGGGTTGCCCCATATTATACTGATGATGAAACCCGTGCCCATGTCCATGTACTGACATTCCCATCATAGGCATAGGCACCATTTGTGGCGGATACATCATTGGCATAGGCATAGGCATAGGCATAGGCATATGACCATTACTACTATGACCATTACCACTGTGTCCATTACCACCGGACTGCTGCAAACTCTGTGGCACAGGCGTAGAAGCGAACAAATGATCAGACGAAGAAGGTCCCTCATTCGACAACCCTTGCATTCTCTTCAAATACAACCTATACTTCTGTAAATGACTAGCAACATTTTCCCTCGTCAGTCCTTCCACATTCATCAGCTGCATAATCGTCTTCGGCACAGCATTTTTAATCCCTAAATGCGCCACAACATCCACAAATCGCTTATGCAGCTGTGGCGTCCAGACTAACCGCGGCCGTTTCAGCGTCTTAGCTGAATTATCATCTCCACAATTCTCATTCCTCAATGCCGAATCAGCCTCTTCAGTAACCATCTCCGGGTCAAGCCTCCGTGTCTTCCTCGACTCGGATCCATCTCTCGTCAGATCCATCTCATCATTCTCATGATTTCTATCTCCATTCCTTCCTTCATTAAAATTATACTTCTCCGACAACATATGTAACTGTCCAGCACGTAGAGACGAAAACGTACTCTCCGAAGCACGATTCACATCCGTCATCGTCTTCGCCGGCTCCGGCGTAATTCTAAACGCCGACGCTAACTCCGGCGGGATTAAAACCTGAGATAACGGCGTCAGATCGTCAAAACTCGGAAGTCCGTCTTCCCACTCGCCAACACGATTATCATCTCCGGCGTAACCATCACCGTCCGTAATTTTCACTTCTTCACCCATAGAGAACCTTCTCAAATCCCAACAGTTTTCCTCTTAAAAAAATTTCTTGTAATTATTTTTTTTCGAAGTTAAATCCAATCTTCCGTGATATCAGTAGAGGATTGGATCAGAGTAACAGGATTTTCCGGTAAGTTCACCGGCGGGCAGAAATTGGGGTATGTGGCGGTGGAAAATAAGGAATATAGTATTAAATAAAGGGGGAAAAGTGTGAGAAAAAGTGCAATATCTGATTCTAAATTGGCCCAGCAATTGCCAACGTGGATGATTTTGCTAGATATTTTTCAATCTTTTTTTACTTAGAATCTTATAAATATCTATTTCTTTTTCTCACTTTTACTTCTTTTTTTTTATATGTTGAAAAAGATGCTTTATGTTAAATTAGATGTGTTTTTATTTGAAATGTAATTTTAATATTCAAAAATTGAAATCATGATTTCACTTATATAATTAAAAAATTATTATAAAAATGTGTTCTTGTTTTTAAAATGAATTAATTATTTGATCAAATGTATCTTTAGGCCAAATCTAGAAAAATATTACTTATACTACGTTAATTTACTTGATTTAAATAAAGTTAGATAAATATATTAAAATTGTGTGAACAGTAATACTAATTAATGTCAATTACGTGAGACATTAATATTTTTTATTAATCTTTCTTACTAGAATCTTATAAATATCTATATCTTTTTCTCACTTTACTTTTTTTTTCGTTGAAAGATACTTATACTTAATAGTATGTATTTTTTTGAAATTGTAATTTAAAGTTTAATAATTATAATTTCAATTCTATAAAAAAGCATTACTTATGCTGCATTATTTTACTTTGTTGAAATTTGTATTAAAGTTAAAGTTTGATAAATATATTAAAATTGTGTGAGTATTTTTTTTTTCTTTTCTTTTACTTGTTTTTTATTATAAAAAATTACTTATATACATTTATTATAAATATTTAATTAAAATGAACAAATAAAAAATAGTAAATATCTAAATCTCTTTCTTACTCTTTTTGCAAGAATCAGTAATTGTTGTAATGTGTAGGTACATAATCTTAGTATTTATGAATTCCTACTTAATTTTCTCAAAGAAAATAGGATTAACTAGGCATTTCAATATTGAATTAGGGGTTCAAATTTGAAGTTTTAACTTTGAAATAAGTATTTTTTTACAAAATTGAATGATTTTTCTAATTTTAATTTCAAATTACGATTTTAAATCTTAATTTCTTCAAAAAGTAGGTTTTAATTTATTTTTTTTAAAATCATTTTTAATTTTTTTTTAAAATATTAAATTTGGTCCATAAATTTATATTTGCGTAAAGAAACTCATTTTTTAAAAAGAAAAGTCGCATGGTTCATGTGAAGAAATTGTTTGTACCAAGTGGGAGGATTATAATTTTTTTTAAAATACTGCTAATTTATTGGATCAATAGATTTTTGTAAAAGTATGTGTATTTGAAATTTTATAATAACGTGTTTTCATAAGTATTTATTTATATAAGAAAACATGAAATTTGTGATTTATTAATGTAGCGTGTTAGAATATTTTAGTACTTTGTTTATGATACAAGTTCTGCTGGTCCAGTAAATTACATACAAATTTGAAAAGTGTTGATAATTTTCATAAATTATGAAATTTTTACTTTATGAGAACAAAAAACAATTTAAAATATTAAAAATTTCATGTTAAAACAAAATTCAACTTTGAATTCACCCTTTGATGGAGATATGATTCTGCTAAAATTTTCGTGATGTAATTTAATTAAACATGACTAAATAAAAAATAAACATTTGCAACTTACAATTTTAAAAATATTATGAGACTTTTATAAATGTTGTCAATCAATATCTTAAAAAAAAAAATCATAAAGTTATTCAGCAAAAAAAAAAAACGACAAGAGTCTTAAATTATAAAGAAAATAATCATCACAAAGTTATTGAACCTAAAATTCACTTTTCATCGCATTTTTTAAGTTGTCATAATATAAAATATAGCCCAAAAAAATAATATCTACGATAGTTCAAATCATCATCATACTTGACTAATGTGTACTTGCAATAGAGAAGTATAATCAATTGGATTCATTGCACCATTGGCAACTTGTTAACAATAATAGCTTAATTATTATTAAAACTATATTTTAAACGGTAATTAGTATTTTTATAAGTGTTTTAAAGCTTATAGACACATTAATTTCACTCATAATTAATTAATATCGAAAAAGACTAAAATTGACAATTGGATGGATTGAAATTAAATTTGGACATATCAAAATGGATCAGGACCGAATCTAACCTAATTTGTTTGGACCAAAATGAATTGGGTCAAACTGGGTTAGTAATTGATCATAACCCAACCCGATCAATTTTTAAAAAGTTTTAGTAGCACATTTTATAAGCTTTTTGGTATATAATAAAAAAAATTCTTTGTTATAACTATATACAACATAAAAATAAAAATAAAAAGTTTTTTAAAAACATTTTGACAAGATTTCATAAAAGAAAGTTTGGGTTACATATCAATCCAAGTTTTAATGGGTTGAAATGCATTCAACTAACAAATGTGGATTAATAACCAATCCAAATTTAAATAGTTTGGTCGAATTGAATCTAATTTCATCATCCTTAATAAATATTTTTATTACTCTTTATTAATATATATATTTACGATTGAATATCACTAGCATAGCGTTGATTCTCAAAGTTACTCCAGAGAATATTGATATGATTCACCCCATAGAAATCAAACTAGACCGATAAAGTTTAAACAATACGTAAACCTAATTACCTATATTGAATAACAGATTAAGGGGTATTGTTTATTCAAATTAGGGTTGTCTAAAATCGAATTGAAATTGATAATTTGAATGGAAGAAAAAGATATTGGTTTATCAATAACATGTTATTGGTTAGCGATGTTGGTGACGCTTTTGGTTTTCTTATTTATCGAGTTATTGATTCTTAATGATTTAAGGGTTTTTTTTAATCGGTTAACCAATAATTCGGTAATAAATTAATTTATTATATTTATAACATTTGATACATAAAGTCTTCCACTCGGGATTTAGTTTTATACTTTTATTTTTGGTCGTTTAAAACTCTCTTTTTTTTTCAAGAATAAGCTTTCTTTCTAATAAGATGTAGTTTGTCAATTCGAGAAACTTCTCGCTCTTCCATATTTTCTCTCTCAAATTTTTATGAATAATTTATTATCTTAGGTTTTGATTTTGATTTTTGGTGAATTTTAGGAGAAAATTGAGGATCAATCTTTAGAAAATAAGAAAAGGTTGTTTTCGTTTAAGTTCCTTTTAATAAGTTTAAAAATAACAACTCAATTACTTTTCTTTGTTGTTGCTACTCTTGAGTTAATGATTGGAAAAAGAAAAATTAATTAATGGAGATTTTTTTTTTTAAAAAAAAATGGGCTCAATTTGTTAGATATATTTTAAATAAGTCTATTAAAGAATTATTAATTTGTCTTTAAAATGCATTAATTGCTGATAATTTTTACACTACATATTCATTCATAACACTTCAACAATGGCAATGGTAGAAGAGATATAGACGTATAGTTGTATACATAAATAACACCGATCAAGATTATGATGCAGTAATAAGTATTTTTCGTGTTCAATCAATCAAAAATCTTGAATTTGACTCCTCTTGGATACAGATTCATTTTTTTTTTTGAGAGTGTTTTACCCCCAATATAGAACTTTCTTACACAAACACGAATTTAACTAAACTTCAATCAAAATATCAAATACTGAATGAAAAAAAATGAAGAAGAAAACAAAAAAAAAGGAGAAAAAAAAGACAACTTACTATGTCAAAGATGGTGAAGATATACTTCTATAAAAACTTCACACTCAATGGTAATTTATTTCATTTTAAAGTAGTTCGCGATAATAAAACTTTTATGGAACATAAGTGTGAAGCTATTTTTAAAAACATGTATATATTTTAAGAAATTTAAATTAAATATGCAATAAAGTTTCAATTTCAAATCAATTTAAATTTCATATGATAACTTCAAATCACAATTTGAGATAATATCTAAATTAGCACTAAATACTTTTG